CACTCACTGGCCACTTTATTAGGTACACCTTGCTAGTACCAGGTTGGGCCCTGTTTGTCTTTATGACTGCCTTAATGACATGATGACATCACACAGTTGCTGCAGATTTGTTGGCTGCACATCCATGAGGAGAATCTCCCGTTCCAGCACATCCCAAAGGTGCTCTATTGGACTGAGATCTGGTGACTGTGGAGGCCATTGGAGTACAGTGAACTCATTGACATGTTTAAGAAATCAGTTTGAGATGATGTGAGCTTTGTGACATGGTGCGTTATCCTGCTGGAAGTAGCCATCAGAAGATGGGTACACTGTGGTCATAAAGGGATGGACACGCTCAGCAACAATACTCAGGTAGGCTGTGGTGTTTAAACCATGCTCAGTTGGTACTAAGAAAATCTCCCCCACACCATTACACCACCAGCAGCAGCCTGAAGCGTTGATACCAGGCATGATGGATCCATGCTTCCATCTGAATGTGGTTTTTCCAATCTTCTATTGTCCAGTTTTGGTGAGAAAACCCGTGTGAATTGTAGCCTCAGTTTCCTGTTGTTAGCTGACAGGAGTGGCACCTGGTGTGGTCTTCTGCTGCTGTAGCCCATCTGCTTCAAGGTTGGACAAGGTGTTGTTGCTTCAGAGATGGTCTTCTGCACACCTTGGTTGGAACCAGTGCTTATTTGACTTCCTGTTGCCTTTCTATCATCTTGAACCAGTCTGGCCATTCTCCTCTGACCTCTGGCATCAACAAGGCATTTTGGCTCACTGGATATTTTCTCTTTTTGGGACCATCCTCTGTAAACCCTAGAGATGGTTGTGCTGAAAATCCCAGTAAATACTCAGACCAGCCCGTCTGGCACCAACAACCATGCCACGTTCAAAGTCACTTCAATCACCTTTCTTCATCATTCTGATGCTCAGTTTGAACTCCAGCAGCTTGTCTTCACCATGACTAAATGCATTGAGTTGCTGCCATGTGATTGGCTGATTAGCTATTTGCGTTAACAGATACCACACAAAGAGAACATAAAGCATTCAAATTCAGCGTGACATGACTTAAACTTGTGATTAATTACTTACAGGACCACCACTCTGCCACTGTCCCTCCCTGAATTTGCTATTAATCAGATCCCTGTCACAAAGGACAATGCAGTATATGAAAGTAAAATATGTCTTAGGGTCCATTTTATTGTAATTGTCTTTTTTTTTTTATACCAGTAATACTTTGTAGTATCAGCACGGCCCTCATCCGTGACAGCTAGATGAAGAAAAGCACCTTTTATCAGTGAGAAAGGGATAAAAACTTTGCAGGCTGTTAGTTACAGCAATCAAGGTGGGCTCAGTCCTCGAGTCTCTGTTATATCCTGATGTTCAACCTATTTGCAGAATGAATCTACCTTAATCTCGTTCTGTCTCTCTGTGGTTTTACCTCATTTCAAGTTTGTATGTGCTTGGGGAGACATGAGTGTCTGATGACTCCTCGCAACTTTTTCACTTTCACAACTCTGCAGTCTTTCTCCTCCTACTCCAGGGAATGTGAAGATTTATCTCTTCTCTTCCCTCTCGATTTTGTTGTTGTTGTTGTTGTTCTCCAGGAATCCATTGTTTTGTGAGTAATGGAGCCAATATTTGATTTCCCTTTTTTCTCTTTGCCGATGCTGAAAGACAAACTTGGAACTTTTTCCTGCCTGAGTCTGTTTGCTTTGATTGCTGAGATGTTAAAGTTCACTGAGTAGTTTTATCTGCTTTCCACAAGATTTTCCAGCCTGGCTGCAGATATTTGTTCCCGTTCTGCTACAAGAGCATCAGTTAGGCCCAGCATTGGTGTTTGCTGATAAGGTCTGCATCACAGTTGGCGCCTCAGTTCATAAAGTGTTGGATGAGGTTGAAGTCAGGACTCTGTACAGACCAGTGAAGTTCGTCACACCAAACTGGGAGTACCAGTTTATTATGGAGCCACGTCATGAGGCACGTCATGTTGGAACAGGAAAAGGGTAAAAACAAACTGGGGAAAAAAACAATGTACAGACTCACACAAAAGTCATTTCTCTCAATAATCTCTTATGACCCAGTCTGTGTGGGTGGTGTCTTTGTCTGCAGAGAACAAGACCTCTGCCTGTATTTTCATATTAATTTGGTTTGTGCGGGATGTTTCTGGGTATCAGACTTTGGGTCGTGGTTTGTAGCCCCCAGCCAATAGCATGAAGTCGCGACTCTATAAAAAACATAGCTACCACGCTGCAAAGCTGTCTCCATCTCACACCTTTGCTTTATGGATGCCAGCTGCAGGTTTGCGTGTCTGGTAGGGCTGACCCAAAAAATTCGAAGCTTCGAATCCCGTGCCATCGAATCCCAAATCCCGAATTCGAATTGGGAATCCTTAATTCGAATCCCGTGCCATCAAACGAAGCTTCGAAGCTTCGTTCGATGGCACGGGCCCCGACAACCCCCAGAAAGCAGAGTGCCAGATTTGCCAAAAGCAATTGCTCTGAGTTGTGCATCAGTTTGATTGTGCTGCAATATGCGCTGAGGGTTTTAATTTAGTGTTTAATCAAAAGTTAAACACTACTTATCACCGACCATTAGTTTTTTTTTGTTTGTGAATATTTTTATCTTAATTCTAGTGTTGGAAAACTACGTTTTTGCCATATATTTTTTTGGCGTCGTCGAATGCTTTGAATTAAATAAGTTCAGAGCTCCGAAGCTTCGAATGTCCATAAATGGATTCGAAGGTCAGCCCTAGTGTCTGGCTAACAGTGCGCGAGGTTGAGCCAAACACAAACACACACAGAGCAGGAAAGGCAAGCGGACCGGATGAACAACATGTTGTCATCCCAAGTCATCACATATTTGTCAGTGGCCTGTCATGTCTACATATTACACGCCAGGTATCCTTCTACATCTGCTGTTGATGTTCCGTGCTCTACCAACGTAGGACAGCGACAAAAGCACTTGGTTAGGTTTAGATAAAAACATCATGGTTTGGCTCTACATTTATACAGGAAGTGAACAGCAGGCTCCCAGGTGAAAGTCCAGGGTCTGTTGGACCCATCCACCACCACTCCCCCTATCCTATAGGGACTTTGTAGTTTCTCATGTCACGTCATTACTGGCAGCGTTATAACCTGGCGCCAGCCCACTGGCGTATCATACCGCCGCAGCAGGTACCATCTGGCTACGTTATGAACTGACGTTGCCCGTCTGCGTATCATACTGCTGCAATAGGTGCCATCTGGCCCACCAATGACATATAACACTGTGAAAGGTTACGTCCAGCTGCATAACAGACAAAGCGGTGGGATTCGATGAATTTGGAATAAGAATGGGCTGGGATGAAGCATGTGCTCTAGCTGAATTCAACCAAAATTCGGCAATGCAGCAGCGTCCTGCAGGGCTGTGCAGGGATGTGGGTGTGTTTGTTTTCAACCAAGGAAGGTAACTACCATGAAACAATCTGAAAACAACATTTTATTTCTCTGATTCATTGCTTTGTTATCATCAACGCACCATCGTTGACAGCCACTGCTCTCTCAGTCTCGTTGAGCTGAGGAGGAGGGGCTGAGTTTGAATGTTGTGTTTACAAACAACAAGTGACAAATCCTGCATAACATGCCTTTAAGATTTTCCCCGCATGGAACGAAAAGATGTAGCCCAAACCACGAAAATCTATCCTGAGTGAAAAATTATTTAGTAATGTAACCAAATAATTTTTAGTCCAGTGGTCCACAATCTTCAAACGTATGTTATATACTCTGGCCTTTGCCCATAACACAAAATACATGATGATGTCATTTCTAGTTTGTGCACCGTCACCCTGGGAGCACGACAGCAAGCATGAACCTAGCTTATCAAAGAGGAGCGCCCTTCAGGCATTGAGGAAAACGACCAACATGGCTGCAGCTGATGTGGAACTTTCTGTTGAAGAACTATGTTTCAAATTCTGATGGCAAAAACAGCATCACTGGTTCACAGACATTTGTCAGTCAGTCAGTGCAAGGCCACATATTTTGTTGCTTTGATTGGTTGAAGTTCTTCCCAATTACGTCCAGAGGTGTTTTGATAACAACTTTTGAATATTAACCGAGAGGTTCCAGACTTATTCCCATTTGCAAATTGGTCTGTTGATGTCAGGCACTCACTCGCTTTTTGGAGCTTTCAACAATTTCACTTTCTTCTTCAGCAAATGGCACTGACTCAGGTGTCGTCAAGGGTGGAACTTTGGTCACGACTAAAAAGGATTTGGCATAAACTAATTATCTTTTGTAATGCAACAGCGATTCCCGTCAGCTGTTTGAGAACATAGGTAAATAAACATAATTCATTTTTTTCTAAGTTTGGAGAGTTGCTGAGCAGTGAGTGGGCTGTTACTGCAGCTTATGTCGGCTCTATTCATTATCATGAAAACACTCTTGTCAGTATGCAAATATGATGTGAGAAATATGCTCACAAGCTGTTTGTCAAACTATGCCCAATATTTATTTAACAAATGTGATTCAATTAATATGAATTTGAGTTTACTTAATGACAGACACTCACAAACCAACTCCTGTTTATTTTCATGAAGGACGTTTTAATTGAAACGTGTTTATGAGGCTTTTCCTTTACAATACATCACAATTCATATAAATAAACTGCTGCTCTTTGTGTTTTGTTTCCATGATTATAACAAGGACCTCTCAGGAGCTGCTGTGTTGTTTTCTATAATTGCTTGTCAGGGATCTCTCCATCATCATCATCATCATCATCATCATCATCATCAGCCCCCCCTACAATAAACACTTTATACAAAAACAACACAGTTGTTATTTGCTGTTGCTGCTCTAATTGTTTTTTACATACAACTGCCAATCGCTCTCCCGCTGTCTCTCAGTTTCAGTTACGTGTGACTCAACATCGCTGAAAAAAGCATTTAGTCATTTTAATAATTCACATTTCCACCTACCTAAAAGAATAATTTCTGATACTTGTTAATCTAAACTCTCCTCTCACATCTCTCCCTCCATCAGGAAAATCAAGACCAACTACTTCATCGTGTCCTTGGCGTTTGCCGACCTGCTGGTGTCGGTGCTGGTGATGCCTTTTGGTGCCATCGAGCTGGTCCACCAGCACTGGATCTACGGTGAGACCTTCTGCCTGGTCCGGACCTCGCTGGACGTCCTGCTGACCACCGCGTCCATACTGCACCTGTGCTGCATCGCCCTGGACAGGTCAGTGTTTGTGCATGTGGCTTTGATTTGGTATGAAATAACCAACCAAATCTACACAGATTCATATAGCTCATGAATTCTTACAGTGTTTTTTCGCCACTAAACAGAGCTTTTCCAAAATGGCCCCCACAATGTGCATCCTAATACACTGACTGGCTGTTAGACAGGAAATAATGTGTAGAGTAAAACTGCCAGCAAAGTACAGAACAAGGACAGGAAATGAAGCTAGTGGAAGAAAATTACATTTTGGAAAAATAAAATTGACTTAAAAAAGTTCTATACTTCCTCTTCAGACACCACAAATTCACTTTATGGAAAGGTGTTCTAATTTAACACAAAAAAACACATTTACCAATTAAATTTTACTTTTTGTTGGTCGTTAAATGCAAAAACAATAACACAACTGTAAGGGCATGGTCAAATGGCGATTGCAGGTGAGTGACCGTCACCTACCGAGGCGACATTTGTGCTGAATGTGGGCATTGCCTGATCTTACGGACAATGGCAGACAGCCTACCATTTGTTTGAAGAGAATTTTTTGAACATCCAGCTGTCTCAGATGCAGGTGCATTGGAAAATATCACTTGGGTCTTTGAAAAGAAAATACAGCACGCTGCTTTTGCTCAGCTTCGCAATTCGCCAACCTCTGGTCCTGCTGGACCTTCGTCAAGAGGAAGATTCTTGATGAAGGTCCAATGGGAGTGAGACGTTAGAAATACTTGCCATAAAATACCACAAAATAAAATGCTATCGGTACATTTTCCATTCTCTTACGCCCCGTACTTGTCTCCTGACTCACTGCCAGTCAGGTAGCATCTCTCATGTGGAGCAGTTTGTATTTTTTTTAATGGCCAGTATGATGCAATAATGGCTCATTAGACACAGCCACCATGAGTGTCTCTTCCACACACACTTCTTTGCTTTTGGTTGAAGCTTCACCGGTCAAAGTTCGCCACAGTTGTACTCCATGCGATGTGAGATATGAAAGTCTTTTCACTGTAGATTTCACAGGAATTTCCAGTGTTGTGCTCAACAGAATCACACCACCGCACTGACATGAAATACTGTTCATCTGCAGAGTTACATTAGCCAGACATAAGGCCTTGACATACGCTGTGATTCTTTGTGCACATTACAGTAGTGTCACTCTTGTAATGGGTTAGGGCAGTGATGTAGTGATGGAGTCAGATCTACTGTGAACTTGTGAAGATGAGTTACTTCAGGTTAAAGGTCAGGATTGACAGTACATCAAGGCTCACAGCATCAGCTGCCACATTCACAAAGCCTTGTTTTTGCTTTAATGGTTTTCCTTTTATATGGAGAAGATTTGAGAAGACAGAAAAGTTACCTGCAAACTAAACAAAGCTACAACTTTCTCCTTCAATTCATCATTCAACATGTTGTGTGCAAACCCCTGAAAAAGCTTCATTAGTAGAACGCTTACTGTACTAAAATCACCCTCATCTTTCTCAGGACCACATAAAGCTGTTCCAGGGCTGAAACATTACAGTGAGTCTTTGATAAGTCGGAGTGTGTATGAGTAGCAGCAAAGTAATGTTACCTGATTCAAGCAATGTCTTTCACTTTGACAGCTTTGATATTAACTGGAGGGACTGATAGCACGGACTGTGTGAGGATGTAGGCAGAATACATTATTTTTATTGCCTCTGCAGGCAGACTGATGGAGCTCATTTCAACACAGAGGAGAAAAAAAACAACACTTTACAGCATTTACAGCACCTGACAAATTCCAGCACTGCAGCGGACATAAACATAACAGACAATTCAAACTGCAAGAGAGCACTGTAAAAGTTATTCATTCCGGCTCTCTGATGCAGCCTGCGCACGTGAACTGTTTATGTATCAGTGTAAATCATGCTCAATAAGAACTCTAGTGTCTGATTGGTTCACTTTTGGTCTCCTAGGAAGTGAACTATCCTATCAGCTGGCAAAAGTGTGCTCGTTCATTTGGGCTTATTGGCTCACAAGCTAGAGAGCAGTTTTCAGACACTGACTCTTTTCAGCAAGTGTGTGGCGTTGGAGAGTGTAACATCAGATTACTGCAGCACTCTGGGCACTGTTGCCAACCTGGAGGATTTCTTGCTGGATTTAGCAACTTTTTAGACCCTTGTAGTAGGCTTTGTTTCTAAAAGGCAACCAGTGACAAATCTAGCAACTTATTCAGACCATCAAGAAAATGGCGAGAAATTCAAATATAGTAAATTATGAATCCTTCCCATACATGCTGCTCAGTAACAGTCCACGGCTCCTCTTCCAACCACGCCAGGTCTCCCCTCGTCCTCTTGCGCTGTGTGCAGGCAGTCAGCTGACACAACCACAAAGGTTTTTGCAAATAAATACACAATTACATCACCAATATTCAAATGAACGTATTGCGTCATTAGGCAACTTTTAGCGACTTTTTGAGCTTGTGCTAGCAACACTGATTCTGGAAAGAACTTTGAGGACTGGCAAATAATCAATTTAACATCACTTGCTAGCTAATTAGCCGCTTGCAATGGGTTAGCTTGGTAGCAGGTTAGCCTGCTAGGTCTATGACTGTGGTTTAAGTTTAAGTTTATTTACTTTATTAATCCCCCGGAGGGGAAATTCAATGTTTTCACTCTTGCTTGTCAATTACACACAGGTCCAAAAGACACACACATGCACAAACAGGACCTATACATGCACAAAGTGGAGAGATGTCAGAGTGAGGGGGCTGCCCTTGGTGAGGCGCCCCGAGCGGTTGGGGGGTTCGGTGCCTTGCTCAAGGGCACCTCGGCAGTGCCTTGGAGGTGAACTGGCACCTCTCCAGCCACCAGTCCACGCTCCATATTTTGGTCCGGACGGGGACTCGAACAGGCGACCCTACGGTTCCCAACCCAAGTCCCTATGGACTGAGCTACTGCCGCCCCGGTGCTTACTACTTTACTCATTATCTGCGAAGCCTGTAATGGTGTAGCTACCATGACTTCACCCGCTGGTTTGTGGACTCCTGTTTTGAAGCTGCAGGTTTTGCATTTTGGCTGTTGCCATCTTGGATTTTTGGAGCCAGAAGTGGCCATATTAGGACGAGAGGGTGAAGCTGTGGAGGGGTGAGGGTTGGATCTGACTCATAGACTATGTGACGGCGTGCAGGCAGTCATCTTGAGAAGCTATGCCCTTAATTATGTCTAACTTTAAGCCTAAATAACACATAAACAGGTGAGTTATTTTTAAAACAAATCACCCCCATACAGTTGTCATGAACTGGGAAATCAGCTGTAGAGACTAAAACTGTTTCTTTGTACCATGTTGTAAACCAACCCAGTCTCACTCGAAAGCAGTCAAAATCCAAAACATCCCTTCACATCGGCATACTACGCGGCCATGCCCGGCAGCGTTAGGGGCAAATACGACCAACAACAACGAACGTTAAGGCAGCAGAAGTCCAAGTAGGGCGGGTGGGACAGGTGGTGGATGGGTCCAGCAACCACAGACTTTCGCTCAAGAGCCTGGTGTTTGAGATTATAAAGCCAAACCCTATTCATTCTTCCTTAACTCTTCTTGAAGGAAAAAAAGCATGATTTGCAGTGTTGTACCAACCATTTATTTTGAAAGACACTGTATGCAAACTGTACATTTCCTGTGAAAACAGGAGTGTATATTGAGAACAGACAATGCATGTAACAGGCAGAACTTGTCATGACCACCCAGAACGTCAACAACCAACACACCCAGGGTACCTTGCACGTTATATCTCAACATGGAAAGTCCATGAGCAAACACAGATAAGTGACAGGTGAGAGTGATTGAGAGTGTTGTGTGAAAATGTTTATTTCTGCTGGAAAGTTGGGCAAGTTAACGTGGGGGTCTATGAGGATTGACTTACTTCTAGAGCCAGCCTCAAGTGGTCATTAGAGGAACTGCATTTTTTTGTCACTTCCGCATGGGCGCCATTTTTCAGCCCCAGACATTACTGCTTAATTACCTACAGTAGTTAGCTCTCTAGCTAACATAATACAGCACTTTGCACTTGCAGTCATTCCTGAAAATATTGAGGGCCAGCTAGTCAGTAAACAAACTGTGACTCGGTTGGGATTATTTTTCTGTTGCTCACAGAATACTGTTGGAATTTGTTGTGAGCTGAGGGTGAGGCTGGCAGCCTGTGTTGTGAGATAGTCAGACCAGACAGGGTGAGCCTTATCATGCAGACAGCTGGATTAAACTTCACCTCAACCAGACCATGCCCAGTTTGAAACAGGTGTGAGGAAAAGTCAGTTTTCTCGCTGTATTTTAACTTCTCAAGCTGATTTGTGTTCAGTGTCTTTTTACATACTGCAGTATTGGTATTAGGAGTGAATGGTGTTCAAGAAACTTTATGTATTGGAAGTCTCTCAGAGCCAGAGTTCGTGAAAAATGTATTGATATAACAAGTGTTGTGTAACATTTAGAGACACTGGCACCAACCTGGCTGCGTGCTGGGAGAATATTGTGCCGTGATTCGTTCTGTGTATCATTTAGTAATGATATATCCACAATAAGAATATGAAGAATGCAGGGAGGACCTATACGACCCACAGTATGTAGGCTATACTGTAGTAATGACGCAGGTTGAATCCAAAGTAGACGTCTAATGGCCGTGCCCATTATTCTGCTCCATCTCACATGTATGTACATGTGTTTTTATACTTGCACAAACACAAGAGAATTTTCCAAATTACACAAACCAAAGATGCAAAGCTCAGCAGCAGCCAAGGAGGAAATGGTTTCTTCATTCAATTATCTGGCCGGAGGAGCTTTGTACTCTTCTATACATCCAGCTGCCTCCGCATCCTGGAGCAGCACAACTTCCATTACCAATTCATAGTGAGGCAATCACCCTTTATTACCCCCAAGTTCCCGGTGTCCCTGGTGAATCATATCACATCTCCTGTAGGCTGTATCTTCCTTCTCCACTTACTTTGATTGCCTGCTCCATGTGATGTTGATTTTTCTCTCAAGAACAATAGTGCAGATGT